TGCCTTGACCTTTTTATTTAACACTGCATTTTAGACATTTTTCCATTTTTAATAAGTAGATATGCATAGAATGCAACTATAGTATGAATGGACCATGCGAGAACTGTTTCCCTGCTGGTGGATATTGAGTTATTTGATTTTTTTCACCATTACAAATAATCCCATAGAAAAAACCCTGTATATCTGTGCAGCTGTATCGAAAGGATATTATGGAGTGAATTCTCAGGATCAAGAGTTTTTTAATATATTTGTAATAATTGTTAAACCCGTTGCCACTGAATCAATTCTGAGTCATATCGACCTTGTAGGACAGAGTAGAACTGCGCCATTGGGTTTCCAAGGAGTGGCTGGTGGACTCGAACTGCCGACGTTTTGGTTATCAGCCAAACTATTAACCACTGTGCCACCAGGGCTCCTTAATACTGATAACCCAAACCAAACCCATTGCCGTCGAGTTGATTCTGACTCCTAGGACTCATAGCGACCCTATAGGACAGAGTAGAACTGCCGCATAGGGTTTCCAAGGAGTGCCTGGTGGATTTGAACTGCCAGCCTTTTGGTTAGCAGACGAACTCTTAACCACTGTACCACCAGGGTTTCCTTAATACTGATAGGAACTGTTAAATTGCTCTTCAGAGACTTTATACTAGTTTCACTGCCATCAGTAGCATAAGAGAATACTCTGCCTCATGCCCTTTTAAAATTGTATGTCTTTAGTTTTCATTCATTTGATGGGCACAGTTTTCAATTTGTATGTCTTTGTTTACTGATGAAGTTGAATGTTGATTATATTATCTGTACTGTATTCTGTTAATGGGCATGTATATTTTTCCATTAGACAGTCTTACTAATAGTAGTAGATTTTTGTATATTAGGGATAATTTTTTTGTATCTGTTATTTTGCAAATACATCCTCCAAGTTTATCATTTGTAAACATGTTAACTTTTAAGTGATTTCCTGGAATTGCCATTAGTGTCTCATTTTTTTATTAGTACATTAACTGTGTTGGTAATAAAATCTTAAGAACTGCTGCAAGACCCCAAATTAACTAACCTTGGGGTTAAAAGTACTTTCCTGGTTTTGTGTCATTCAAAATAGAAATCTAAGTGTTTGTTATATTTGCCACCATTCTGCAAGGGCAGTCTGAGTCTTTGATAGGCAGAATCATTTATGTTTCTGGAGAGGTCTTTTCTCTGTACTAAAAAAAAATATATAGGAAAATAAAAACTTTCCTATAATAAGTAATGCCATAATTTGTTTGCATTTTATCTTATGACTAGATTGGGTTGATATAATTTGCATTGCTTGAGAACTAGTTTATTGTATGAGTCTTATCCTGTGAAGATAACTTTTCCAGATGTCGCTATATCCATTAATATTTTAGGCCATTCTTCATCCTGTATGCAGCATTGAGATACATTTGGTTTTAAATTTTTCTTTTAAAATATTAATTTGTCCAGAAGCAAGATAACAAATTATGGTTTCACTTCAAGTTGTAGATTTTATACTTTTACAGAAAAGTAGTTGTTACTGAGTAAATAATGATCAGTTAAATCATTTTTCCCACTCCAACATTGACTTCTCTAAGTGGCACTTGGCATATTTGTTAAGATGTCAGTACATACATAATTTCTTTTCCTGTCTGAGATGATTTAGTTTCTGTTAATACCAAGAGTTGAAGCCCTTGTTAGCAAGACCTTTCTTTGGGCAGGGACATACTGTATTCAATTTCTCACTAGCTATGTAGCTTAAGCAACTTACTTTGTCTGTTTTCTCATCTGTGAAATGGGAATAATAAAAAATACCTAACTCATAGGGTTATTAAGAGAATTAATTGAGAATTGGTGCAAAGCGTATAGCACAGGGCCGTTAGTTGATCAAAAATTTATCTAGTAATTAGTCTGTTCCTGAATATTGTATGCTTGAGATAGTATTTCAGAGCTAAAATGTGGTCTTTAGCAACAGATAAATGAGTTCTAGTTTTGTCATTTATTAGTCACAGTGAACAAGTTATTAATATTCCCAAGCCTTGGGTTTCTTTTCTGTAAAATGGATATAATGATCAAACTTGCATTGTAGTGTAGTTGTAAGACTCAAATAAAATACAGTAAATACTAAATTTCTTATTTTTTCGTACTGTCTTCTCTCCCCTTCCCATTATTTGGTCAGGTGTATTACTGTCCCTTTTTCATTCCATCATCTTACATATTTATTTCTGGCGAATGTCATCTTGATGCCTTTTAGCCGCTGTAACTGTGAGGTTTGGATATACTTTTGGAATTTACAATAGACCTCTGCTTAGATAATGTGATCCTGAGATGCTTACTAAGTTCGTTAAAAACAAAGTTATGAATTACAAATTATTTTATCTACCATAACACCATTTTTGAAAGAAAACATTGCTCATACAGTTGAAAATACCTTTGAACTTAACTAACTGTCCTACTATGTCAGGCAGAAATCCATTCTCTTACTAGTTGTGTCAGATGACTTATCAAATCTCCGGTAGGGGCCAGTCTTTGTTATCAAACAGCCTAAATTTTATAAAGCTCTTTCTTTGGATTCTAATGACTTTTTCTTTCTGTAATTACTTTACATTAGCTGTTGTTTGAGTCCCAAAAGTTACAGGAAATAAACATCTTGCCTCTTAAGATAAAGTTGATTTATATCCATGTTAAGTCATCTTTTCTTGGCTTTCCACCTACAAATTTTGCAAGTATTCCTTAAATTAACTAGTTTTCAATTAGTGTGTTCTGTTGAACTTTTTTAACACCTGAAATCGGGATGCATTCTATAATCTATGGTGTTTTGTAATCTCTGATACCTAGGCAGCAGTTGTGGTGTATGTAGTTGTGCATGAGTGAACAGCGCAAGAGCCGCCATCAGAAAAGTGGATGTCAGTGGGTTGGAAGAAGATCCTAGTAATAATAGCATAGCACTCTTTTAACTGTTAGGAATAAGATAGTGAGAGTGGGAAAAGCGATGAGTCGTGTATGTTAGCCACATTCCCAAAGCAGAAGTCAAGAGTAGGTCAGCTCTGTTCCTCAGTAAAGCCAATAAACCAAAAAGAAAGATAGGTCAGCTTTAAGTAATTACTAAAGAAGATTAAGAATCAGTACCAGTTGTTTTAAGGTTCTTTTTAAAAATACTGCATTACCAACATTCTTGATACCAAAGAGGATGATACTGTGTGAAATACAGTGGACATCAGTGACTCAGACAAAAAGTGGGCTCAGTGTGAAGAAACTGTTTAAGGAATACCAAAACCAAAAATCCATTGCTGGCGAGTCAGTTCTGACTCATAGCGACCTTGTAGGATAGGGTAGAACTGCCCTGTAGGGTTTCCAGGGCTATAATCTTTATGGAAGCAGACTGTCACCTCTTTCTCGTGCAGAGCAGTTGGTGAGTTCGGACTGCCAACCTTTCAGTTAGCAGCTGAGCACTTAACCACTGCAGAGCCAGGGCTCCTTATTTAAGGAGTGGCATGACTAAATTATTTGCCTTGTTTTCCTTTTATATATGCACAAAAGTGATATATGATAAAACCAGTGTCTGAGTAAATCTAAATCTTTCAGTAAGTTTAAAGTAAAATCTGTGTGGTAAAAAAACCATGTGATAGTTTTACAGTATCTTTTTTATTTTTTCTTTCTTAGAGGTATGCACAATAACTTTGTATCTTAGATTTGAAGAAATATATAGTCTTTATAATCCTCCTCCAAGCACACTTTAGTTTGTTACCATCTGAAAAATCTTATGCCGAGAACTGGACCCAGTACTTTGATCTCATCCAGTAATTTATTCATTTATAATACCTTGGAAAACTCTTAACCAACCTTGATTTGATCATGCCTATTGATGTCTGAGGTTTCATTAGCAACTTTTAGTAGGTTCTTAGTATGGTTCTTTTGGGTCTTTATTTAAGAGTGAAATTATATTCTGTGACTAGTTTCACTCCAACCTTTATTTCACCTATGTTGTTTCGAGGAATTTGGACTCACATTTTACCCTTGTTAAATTTCATCTTTTTGATTGTTAAATACTGATTATGTCATCCTAAAATCATTATTTCCAATTTTGACAACTGAGCCCTTGTGGTGCAGTGGTTAAGACCTCGGCTGCTAACCAAAAGGTTGACAGTTCAAATCCACCAGCTGCTCCTTGGAAACCCTATGGGGCAGTTCTACTCTGTCCTGTAGGGTTGCTATGAGTCGGAATTGACTCAGTGGCAATGGGTTTGGTTTGGTTTTGGTCTTTATGGCATACCAATTTAGAACTTTATCCAAGTTTGTGTAGGTTTTCCTTGGATTTGAATTGTTGAACTCATTATACTACATTAGCATTTAGTCCATATGTTCTTTTTTATCCACTAGGCGTAGACTTGTCCTGAAAGATCGTCTTAGATAAGTTACATAACAACCATTCTCAGGAGAGCCGTTGTGTCCATGTAATTCTAAAGGCTAGGTAGAACAGAGAGAGATTCTAAAACCTGAATTGATCCAAGCTGCTTTTGAAGTACGTTGTAAATACAGGCAGTCCCCAACTTAGGATGCATTCGAGTTTTGATGAACTGCACTTAACAACCATCTGAGTTTTTTTGTACATCTTATCATTAGTAGTATGTAGGTATGTATGTATTAAAATATATCTGTAAGTTTATATGTAAAGTTTGCAATCCCCAAAAACAAAGATCAGATTTATAAAGATACTGATAATAAAAGGTAATAATAATGAAAACTAAAAAAAAAAAAAAAATTCGACTTGTATCAGAACTGACTTACAATGGAGTCGTCAGAACAGAACCCCGTTGTCATTTGGGGACTGTCTATATCCTATTTTTCAGTTTTCCCTACTAACTTGTATTGATGAATTACTCTAAATGACTTACTGTCAAAATATGCCGTTTATACTTTTTTCATATATTTATATATTGCTTTGAAACTGTTAGTACTGATAATCATTGTCACATTGTTACATAAATCTTTGTCTTTTTTTTCTTTAGAAATCAATGTGGACTGAACACAAATCACCTGATGGAAGGACTTACTACTACAATACTGAAACAAAACAGTCTACTTGGGAGAAGCCAGATGATCTTAAAACACCTGCTGAGGTAAGATTTGGAAGGCTAGAAATCAGGGACTGTTAATTAGGTTAGGGCATACTTTTAGGATTTTGTGGATATTTGACTGTCCAAGGAGCAGTACTACTTACATCCCAGAATAGGGTGCTATAAAGGCATTCAGAAGGGAAGAAGGTTAATGCAATCACACCAGTCAGCAAGAACAATAAAAGTCATTACCTTCTATAGACAGACTAATATTATTTACTGATTCTGCCCTGATCAGTAACCCTGGGAGGGTGCAGTCAGTTTGAGAAAGTCATTTAAAGAATTGGAAAAAAAAAAAAGACTCTTTTTCCTGTCCTTTATTTTTTTTAACTCACATTTCAGTTTTTTTCCCTCTTTATAACAAAACCTGGGTGATTTCAAGAGATGTTAGATTTCTACTCGTTCTTCAAAATTTCCAACGGGTGGGAGTGGTAGAGATGAAATGACATTACCTACAAGTACTTTCTTCTCTTAGAGTGGGAAATTATTGTCTGCCTCTTTGCTGAAAATGCCTCCCCCCAAAAGTATGTGTATTTCATTTTATATTGCAAATTTTACCATTTAAAATATACATATATGGAAGTAAAAGTTAAGGTTGAATGAATAAACTGAGTAATATTGCATGAGGTTTAATTAGGAATTCTGGATTGCTAAGAGTTGAGATGGCACTCTAAACTATACATAAGTTGTTATCCAGCTGGTAGTACACTTTTAAATAAATAATTTGAGAAGGTAAAAGCATTTTTCAGGCCATCACACAGATAAGCACAGCATGCTTGGGAAGGGAGGCTGATATATACATATTTTTATTTATCCCTTTACTGAGTTGTAGACAGTGACACTTCTCATTATCTGTTTCCTCCAAGACACTTTGCCTAGATTCTAGTTTTCAGGAGCCTTCTCATACCACCGTATATAAGTATTGATATCTATATTGTTTTTTATATAAGTTAGTTCATAATAGTATTACAGTAAATTATTTGTCACGAAACTGAAATGTAAGCATGACTAAACCAGACTATGCTTTCGCCTAGGTTTTATGTTTTTCCTACTTGTATTAGTATTAGAGAAATCTATTTGTGAAATGTGGATGGTAATTTTTACCTATAGTGAGGTGTAAATGTTAAGAACACACAGGTTTTGAGATTCTGATAGACCTGGTTTTGAATCTTTACTCTGCTCCTTAATTAGGTATATTACCTTAGACAAATTACTTTATCTCTTTAAGCTTCAGTTTCCTAGTCTGTAGAATTGGAATAATAGTATAAAATTTGCAAAATTATTGTAAAGATTAAATAATACATTTAAATGACCTAAGAGCATTTAGTACATATTCAGTGATTGGCAGCTTATATTATGACCATCGTTTCACAAGTTTTAGAATTGTACAGGTTGATAATATACTGTATAGTGAAAACAGTGATGTGAATGATAAGTGATGCTTGATATAGTATTATTAATTGAAGGTTTTTATTTCCTTTTAGCAACTGTTATCTAAATGTCCTTGGAAGGAGTACAAATCTGACTCTGGAAAGCCTTACTATTATAATTCTCAAACAAAAGAATCCCGCTGGGCCAAACCTAAAGAACTTGAGGATCTTGAAGGTAAAACAGGAAAAAAAATTCTTTGATGTAATCTTAATTTTAACATCTGCAAATCATTCACAGTGAAACAATTAAATCATTCCTAAATAGGATTGTACAAAGATGTTATTTTTAAAAATTAAATGATTAGAACATTTTAAATGGTGTAACACTTTTATGGGCTCTTATTGTAATGTTGCTCTAGCTCTCAGTTCTATAGATTTTAAATAGACTTTTATTTGATTTGATTCCACTGAAACTAGGATACCAGAATACCATTGTTGCTGGAAGTCTTATTACAAAATCAAACCTGCATGGTGAGCTGCTTTGATAATTCATTTTCTGTCATTATTTAACACTTATAGAGTATGTCAGTAATGTTCACTAACCATGATTAGATAAACCTGCAGTGAAAAGTCTCTAATTCAAAGAATTTTCCTTCATTTAAGGGTTATATTATAAATGAGCTTGTAGCTTTAAAAATTTATCACTGGAAAATTGAACAAGGGCTTTACTTACAATATTTCTGAATACAGCTGTCTGTGTTGGTGCATACATGGAACATGTGACTCAGCCCCATTTATGGGTAGCAGATAGTGGAGAACCATGAATCCTTATCAGTTTAAATTTTCTTATGTGGTGAGACTATAAATTTAATGCTGATTTTGTTTTAGCATAACACTGTAAAATAGTTTTGATGTGTTTGTTACAGAGGAATTAAGGTAAGCAAATATAATGCCTTATTTACAAAGGGAGAATTTTTCATCCTCCTTAACTACTCAGAATATCCCTGAAAATCTAGAAATACATATTACCTAATATAAAACCCAGGGGTTAAAATCATAGCAAAAGATATAGTAAGAATTGAAAATTTGGTTCTTTTACTCTCATTTTTAGTAGACTCTGCTGTCACAAACTATACCAGATTGGAAGCAATGGATTATAGAAGAATGAGGCTAATAAAGTAGGTAGCAATGTGGAATGATATCTGACAGGAAGCAAAGAATAAGCATTTTTAAAAGGCACTGTGGCCTAAGTTCATTTACTTTTTCCCTGTGTCACCTCAGTAATTTAGATCATCACTGTATCAGAAACATGTTAATTTATATTGATAATACCCCTTTAAGTATGTATTTTGTCAGCCATCCTAAAGAGAATCTCAGGTATGTTTTCCTTTAATGGAGGATAAGATTTCAAAATATTTTTGTGAAGTTAAGCTTGTATTATAACTTGTATGGAGCACCTCATTCCCTAATGATGCTGAATAAATGAGATGTTTTTGATAACCCCAGAGAAAAATTTAACTAGAATAAAAGTTGCAATATTTAACGTAAATCTTTAACTCAATTTAAATTATCTATACTAGCATTGGCTAATAATAATATTGTAGATAGGTCAATACCCAGTTTATTCATTTCATAAGTATCAAGCTCATTTCTGATATAACCCTACTACAAATAGTTGGTGTGCATAACTATCTATTTGTCAATGCTAGTATATATGTGTTTGAGTTTCATGATATGAGTTTGATCCCTCTTTGAATTTACTATTAAAAAAATAATAATAAAACCAGTTTTATCCATGGAGAAAATACTGTTTTATTCCAGAATTATGCAGAAACTTTTTCAGGGAGTTTTTTCAGTAGCCAACAGCATTTGGGAAAACAGTGTGTGGGGAAGAGTTCTTAATAACTGCTCTTACCTAAATTTATTTTCATTCTTTAATTGCTGCCCTGGAACTTTGGAGCAAGCATTCTATACAAGTGATTTTTTTTGTTCGTTTGTTTTGTTTTAGTACTGTAAATTATATCCTACTGTATGATACTTTTCTTTATCTCCTTTTAAAGTTTGTTTTCAACAATTGTATTTTAAAAGTATACAGTAGATGACTTTTCCTTTTCCTCTTTAATAGCAATGATCAAAGCTGAAGAAAGCAGGTAAGCATTTTTGAACATCAATACAGATTTAAAAATTTCGTCCACTTGAAATATCCTTGTTCTAGCTGTCTATGTGATTTATACTATAATTAGTATTTAACATGTTAGTTTTTGTCTTTTGAGTTTTGTTCGTGGGGACTGCATATAGGAGGGGGAGGTTTGGTCAAGATACGCAAATGATACTTTATCAGACAATAATTATTTCAATTTGGACTGCATTCTTCAACAATTAAGAAGACTGTTATTAAAAAATCCACAATTTGGTTTGAGTTAGTTTGGGAATGGATGCAGTGTTATATCTGCATATTTCTTCTTTTCCTCAGGCTTACTTTTTAATGGGAGAAAATCTAAAGTTTTTATAGAAGTTTATGATACAGGTTTTTTTTTATGATGTAATATAGTCTGATTCATTGAGCATTTTGTAAATGAAGGTAATTATTGGACTTTTGGAAATGAGAGACTTGCATGAGTGCCTGCCATGCGTTATCACCAGTGTTTGCCCAGTTAAGTCAGAGAAATATAGTTTCATTTTGTGATTTTAATCTTTTCAAATGGCTTAATAGTTTGGCAGCACTGACTTTTTTCCTCCATAATCATTTTTCTTATTTGATTGTATGGTAATTCAGAACTAACTTTATTTGACTTTGTGATTATAGTAATGAAATATTAATTTTCTCTTTTTTCTCCCCATCTATAGTAAGCAAGAAGAGTCCACTACCACATCAACAGCCCCAGTTCCTACAACAGAAATTCCGACTACAATGAGCACTATGGCTGCTGCCGAAGCAGCAGCTGCTGTTGTTGCAGCTGCTGCTGCTGCTGCAGCCGCTGCTGCTGCAGCCAATGCCAGTGCTTCCACCTCTACTTCTAATACTGTCGGTGGAACTGTTCCAGTTGTTCCTGAGCCTGAAGTTACTTCCATTGTTGCTACTGTTGTAGATAGTGAAAATACTGTAACTATTTCAACTGAGGAACAAGCACAACTTACTAGTAGTACTCCTGCTGTTCAAGAGCAAAGTGTGGAAGTATCTAGTAATACAGGAGAAGAAACATCTAAGCAAGAAACTGTAGCTGAGTAAGTTTAGTAACTTGTCTACTGAAAATCAGTGCCAGTGTAGTTAGTGGACATTAAGTGTTTAAATATTTTTCGTGAATCAGAACACAAACCTCTAGATAATGAATTAATTTTGAGGCTAAATTTTGTTGAGTCATGTCACCAGACTTGCAAAACTAATGAACTGAAGTTTTAGGGATAGGCTGGGGTTGAGTGTAGTGAGTGAGGCACAGATTTAAAGAGATGCCAGAAAAACTCTAATCAGGATACATAATATTTTAATGCAGTATTTTAAGTAAAAATTAACATAAAAACTCTGGTTAACAAAATTTCAAATAAAGACAGGATCAGTTTTTTTTCCTTTTTTACTCCCTTTGCCTCAACCTCCAGTATGTCTTAGTATGGCACTGCTAGGAAATGCTGGGGTTTGGTGTTGAACCAACAGATATCAGCTGTGGAGGTTAAGGAAGCCCTACCAAGTAGAGTACTAAAATTGTTTTATTTCTTCCTTGGTTATTGGTGTTTTCTAGTTTTCAATCTCCTACAAATCAATAAGGAAAAAATACAAACAGCTTTGCAGAAAAATACATTAAGGGTAGGAAAAGGAAATTAACCAAATAAGAAATACAGTTGTCTAGTAAGTATACATAAAGTCAGTTATCCGTAATGATAAAGACAAAATAACAGTATTATGGTTATTTTAAAATAGAAATACAAATACATACAAAATCAAATAGACGAGAACAAACAAGATAACAGGGTGTAGGAGAACTCATCACCGTGCTAAATTGGTACAACTTTTTAATAAGCAAAATAGCTGCATCTGTTTACATTTTGTATGTACTTGAATAACCTGTAACCTAGTACAATTTCATAGGTGTACGCTTTATGCAGCTAGCTAGTACTATTTCATAGTGCTGTGTTTTATGCAGCTGTAAGACAGGTGGTCGAGCTCCACTGTAAAGATAGCCACATATATTAAAAAAAAAAAAAATTATTAACCATGATCTCAAGATCAAAACATGATAATCCATCTTAATATTCAAGCATATTGCTTTCATCTCCCACCCCTTTGTATATGTTCTTTTGTTTTTCTTAGGGAAATTTCCCAAAGTGAAAATAGCTTTATAGTTTTTTCTGAGTAGAAGTTTCAGAAAGAAATCTAGATGACATATTTGAAGATGTAAAAGAGAAATTGTTAACATTTTGTTTTATGTCCTGCCCTGTTTATGTACTCAAAGAATATAGAGATACGCATGTGTGTATATACGAGAGACATCTTCCACATTGACAGTGGTATATATCCCATCATGTTGTATGATGACATGGTATTATTATTTATATATGCATATATTTAATTGTTCTGCTGATAGACATTTGGGTTTTTAGAATACCTTTTTTAACATTTAATCTTTTTTTTTTTTTCACAAGTGTTTTTCATAGTTTTAACAACCATGTCTCTTCTGCTTTTTTCCTTTCCAGCGTTTCCTTATTATAATGCCTGGATCATAATAAGCTTTTGATTTTAAGAATTTTCCCATGCTCTTCCATAAGCTTTATAAACGTGATTTTCCATTACTCTAGTATAAACCGTTTTTTTAGCTGTTAACTTTTGATTGGTTTCTTTCCAGTATTTTTTTACTAATTTTAAATAGATTTCCCAAAATGAAGTTACTTGATTTAGAGGATATGAATGTTTTTACTATTTCTGGTTAGTATCCGCTCCAGTCTCTTCCCCTAAGTAGGAAAAAAATTTCATGGGTTAAATAATTTTTTATTAATTCAAAGAGACCCCATACAGCAAGCATAGTTGATAATCCTTAGTTGTGTTAATTTTTTTTTTTGTTTGAGATTAAGGTTTGGCAGACTTTTTCTATAAAAGGTCAGATAGTCAAAGTTTTTGGTTTTGTCAGTTATACAGTGTCTGTGACAGCTGCTTAGCTCTGCTGTGGTAGCACGGAATCAACCATAAACAATATGAAAACAAATACATGTGGCTATGTTCCAGTGAAAGTATATTTATAAAAATGACCTTGATTTAGATTTATCTCTACATCATTTTTATACTTGCACACAGTTGCCCAAATGCTTAGTTATTTTAAGCCATTTAAAAGTATTAAGCAATGGACTAGTGGAGCTACTCTTTTAGTACAATTAAATGTTATAGCAACATGGGGTCTTGATAAATGAAAGTTCCAGAAAATATATATTAGCTTTTTATTTTTTTGTCTTCAGGTATGTTTTTAGTGTTCACATAGGGTACTTAATTCTAAAATTGTCAAATTTTAGCTCAACACTAAAATAATGATTAATGAAGGCATTATTAAATGAGGCAAACATGTATTTAAATGATAACATGTTTAAATTTCTCTCTAGTTTTACCCCCAAAAAGGAAGAAGAGGAAAGCCAACCGGCCAAAAAAACATATACTTGGAATACAAAGGAAGAGGCAAAGCAAGCCTTTAAAGAATTATTGAAAGAAAAGGTATTATTATTTCATATATAATAATAATAAATATAATCAACATTAATGGCTTTATTGAAAACATTAATCTCATGAACTGTTGTAATGAAAATGAACTAAAGTTATCTTGTTCTCTTGAACATTTTTTGAGCCTGACTTTAAACCAAAAAGCTCTTGTGTACAAGGTACTACACAAATTCCACCTCAGTATTTATTAGGTTTTTATATATAATAATTGTTTTAATCAATAGTCTAAAGAAAAAATATTTCATGCTTTGTTTAAATTTCAGTTTAAGTTTTCTTTTCAGCCTATAGGTATCTTACACAGATTTGCCTTGCTTCAATAAAAGATTTTTTTTTAGAACTTTTTTCAAACTCCTGCAAAGAGAAGTGCTTGATGTTTGCAGTGAGTATTATACTTTGTTCCCTGTTGCATGACTTTTACTATATTTGTGTAAAATATTAATTTTTTATTTAAATGGCTTTCAGCGGGTACCATCTAATGCTTCATGGGAACAAGCTATGAAAATGATCATTAACGATCCACGATACAGGTAATACTTTTTTTTATTTTTTTTTTCACTTTAAGCATAGCATGCTGACAAATTCAAAATTGTGTAGAATTACATGACATTTAACCCTCATTAACTTTTTTAAAAATATCTGCTATAAACCAAAAGAGCCTTTAAAAAAAATAGACTTGATTTGAGCAGTTTTAGGTTTACAGAAAAATTGTACTTAGAGTTCCCATATACTCCCTCTTCCCCTACATACTGTTCCTGTTATTAATATCTTGCGTTTGTGTGTACATTTGATAGTTGATGAACTAATATTGATACATGATTATTAACTAAAATCCATAGTTTTTATCACCCTTCACTTTGTGTTGTACTATGGGTTTTGACAAATGCACACTGAAATGTGTCTGCCATCACACATTGGTGTAATAATTTCACTGCCCTATCAACTCTGTATTCCATCTATTCATCCCCTGAACACCTCGCAACAACTGATCTTTTTTACTGTCTCTATAGTATTTTGCCTTTTCCAGAATGTCATAGAGTTGAAATCATATAATATGTAGCTTTTTCAGACTGGCATCTTCCCAAAAGGCCTTTTAAAAGGCTTATCATACAATCTGAGCACCCTGATACACATGAAATAAGAATTAGGAATGACTTTCTACAACCATTTCTTGTCTAACTTTTTACTGAAATTTTCTTAATTTATGCATAAAAACATTTGTATTGTTTTTTAAAAACTAACATTTTGTTATCCTGCCTTCATTTACTCTGAAACTGTATGTTTTCATTATTTAGTGCTTTAGCAAAGTTGAGTGAAAAAAAACAGGCCTTTAATGCTTATAAAGTCCAGACCGAGAAAGAAGAAAAAGAAGAAGCAAGATCAAAATACAAAGAGGCTAAAGAATCCTTTCAGCGTTTCCTTGAAAATCATGAAAAAATGACTTCTACAACCAGATACAAGTAAGGTTTTTAGTGATGCCTGTGGTATGTTTACTGTGTTTTTCTGTGTTATTCTTTTTGCCAAGTGCGATATCTGATCCAAAGTAGACATCCATTAAATAAAGTTAGATAATTATCAATGTGTCCATTTCATAAGGTAGAAGGTCAATCAGTAGTGGAATTTAACTTGTAGACTCACTGAATTATTTATCAGGGACTGAAAGGGAGAAAGATTGGATTTAACAATCAAAGCTTGACTCCCTTACTACTGAATATAAGAATAGAAATGTTTTATTTGTTGACTAGAAATACTCTTTTCATTAAGTATGATATTTTAAAAGCTTGTGTTTGTATTCTTAATTTTAGAGTACTTTATTTAAAATTGTGGATAATTCAGTATTAAAATTTTTGCAGTAACTATCAAGCTCATGTTTCCTATGAACTACTTTATTTTCCTCATTCTTCCAAGAAATCCATAGTGAAGAGCTAATTTCTGTAAATAGTCCTATTTTATGTGTTAACTAGATTTCCGATAACTTTACATTCTGTAATTTAGTCCCATTGGAAGTTTCATAGCTGCTTTAACTATCTTAATAGCGGTAGTCTGGGATTTCTAAGACCTCCTATTGGTGGTACAGTGGTAGAATTTTCACCTTTCCATGAGAAAGACCCACGCAGTTCGATTCCCGGTCAGTGCATCTTCTGGGCAGCTACTACCCATCTGTCAGTAAAGGCTTATGTGTTGCTATGATGGCTGAACAGCTTTCAGCAGCACTTCCAGACTAAGACGGACTAGGAAGAAAGGCCTGATGATCTGCTTCTGAAAATCAGCTGGTAAAAGCCCTATGGATCACAATGATTTCGTCTACAGCTGATCATGGGGATAGTGGAGAATTGGGGAGCGTTTCGTTCCATTGTACGTGGGGCTGCTATGAGTTGGGAACCAGCTCAATGACAGCTAACCACAACGTGAGTACAAACATTGCCCATGGGAATTATCCTCTCTTATCTCTTAGGAGAAATATAGACCTAAGCTGTTTTGTCTTTTTTTCTAACTATTTAGCAGCTTTTCTTTACAATTCAATCATAGTTTTATTAAGTTAGTTTTTACTGTTTAATGTAAGATAACATTTAATTTTTTAACAGAAAAGCAGAGCAAATGTTTGGCGAGATGGATGTCTGGAATGCAATATCGGAACGTGATCGTCTTGAAATCTATGAAGATGTTTTGTTCTTTCTTTCAAAAAAAGAAAAGGTATTATTCATTCTCAATTTTTGTTATTTATGTGTAAACAAGATGTTTCTTCATGTTGATTAGGACTTAATTGTATAGTTTGTTCATTTTTGTGTTTTTAGTTTATCCAGTGTATGTGGTACAGGAAGTTTATTTATTAGAAGTTAGGTTTAAAGATGGAATGGAGTATAGCTCCTATAATAATAATTTTCTTTATCCCTCTCCATCCAGCATAATAAGTAGTGACATAGACTGGTAAGTACTGGTTTATCTAGCTGTTGCTTGAATTGTCATTAATAGGCTGTCTTATGGCTACTTTGAAAAATAGGATACTTATGCCTACTTTAGAAAATACTCAGTATTTTTGCTTATAGTGCATTTATTTGAAATTCTGTCACAAGAACAGCTGTAATACGTAATTATTTTCATTGAAATATATTTGTAGGATACTGTTTTAAAACAGCTGTTTTTTTTCATGCCCGTTTCATTCTGTGCTATCACATTTTATATTATCCTGTGTTTAACAAACATGTATATCAAGGAGCCCTGGTAGTGCAGTGGTTAAATGCTCAGCTGCTGACCAAAAGGTGGTGGTTTGAACCTGCTAGCCACTATGCAGAAGAAAAGACCTGGCCATCTGCTTATGTAACGATTATAGCCTAGGAATCCATATGGGGCAATTCTACTCTGTCCCCGGTAGAGTCTGTATGAGTCGGAATCAACTTGACGGCACACAGCGCTGTTGTTATCAACAGTTTGAACGTAGCTGAAGGTCATTGAATACCTTAGCATTTACCCACTAGTGTGACTTGCCCACAGGAACTTTAGTTGTATACCGTGAATGTAATGCATAGTAGTGGAAAAGGAAAGGAATGGGTACATTTTTAAGATGTAGGGGGTGGGGAGAAAAAGCAAAACAAAGCGTGATTTCCACATTCTGGCTTTAGAAGATAGAGAGGTGAAAAATTGAAAGTAGGTATCAAACCAGGTGATTAGGCAAGAGCGTTGGCAAAGTAAGTAATATTGGTATTTAAAGTAAAAAGATTACTTTGGAAATTTGTTGATGAGTTAGAATGTAAAGAAGCCTTCAGTAATTGCAATTCAAATAATCATAGTTTCTTTGTACTTCAAAAAGCGTGTTCATGCTTATGTTTTAGGAACAAGCAAAGCAGTTGCGAAAGAGAAATTGGGAAGCCTTAAAAAATATACTTGACAACATGGCTAACGTAACATACTCTACTACTTGGTCTGAAGCCCAGCAGTATCTGATGGATAATCCAACTTTTGCAGAAGATGAAGAGTTACAGAGTAAGAATAATGACTAAATTGGGAGGAACCATTTTAAACAAAGTTCTCCAGCAGCAAAGAATTATTCCCACTTTGTATATGAGATCCTCAGCTTAATTTTACAGTTTGTCCATTTCTGTAAAAGTATTCTGTTTGCTTCCTAATATTAGAGATATTTTTTTCTAATTGAGTTTTACTTAGGACAAAATGTGTCCAGAAATCTTAAGTTAGCTTTATTAGATAATCCTTGAAATTGTTCATCATACCTGTCAAACCTGAAGTTGTACTTTGCCATTAGTATGTAACTTGGTAAGAACCAAACCAATTACCACATTTTAGTCAAGCGGTCTTCTCAAGGAAATGACTTTAATTAGAGATTTGCAGAAAGCAAAAAAAATGTAAATAGTAGATTCCCCAAAGGACTGGCTTTTTCTGACTTACCTAGTTCCTTTTTGGTAATCATGATTTCTTAGCTTTCCTTCTCAAAATCATGCTTCAGTAGATTTGGGGTAGGGCTTAGAAATCTAAACTTTGAAAAACTCCTTGGGTGATTCTAATATTGCTGACAGATTTCAGTATGAAAACTTTATTTTCATTAATTGTGTTATGTGTATATCCTTTGTTTCATGCTAGGATTCAGAGTATCTTTTAATGAGGTCTTTGTGAAATTTTCCTTAAAACTTGCCTGTTTAGATAATAATAAGTCAAATTTGAATTTAAATTAAGTCCTTCTGAAAGACGAATCTGAATTTTATAGGCAGTTAAGGCAAATAAACTGCTTTCTTTACTGGTATTTGAGATTTTTAAAAAAAATTTTTTAACAAAAAACACTTTAGACATGGACAAAGAAGATGCATTAATTTGCTTTGAAGAACACATTCGAGCTTTAGAAAAGGAAGAAGAAGAAGAAAAACAGAAGAGTTTGCTGAGAGAAAGGAGACGACAGCGTAAAAATAGGGAATCCTTTCAGGTAATAGAAAATCTCTCTTGTCTTGCATTTTCTTGTCTAGTTTTTTAATATGTTTACTAGACTCGAACATTTATGTAAATGATTTTGAGACCCCTCTTCCTGATTTCTTGACCTAGGCTTTGTGGAGGATCCATACACGTTTAACTCTTAAATTCTGTAATTAGTTATGAGGTCACTTAGGAGAACAGTCATTTTAAGCAAGGGAATATAGAAGGCTATAGCATATGTTGGCATATAAGGTGAGCATTGCTAGATAAGGTTTCAGTTGAAAGAAAAATAGCATGAGGGAATGCTGAAAATAAGATATGTGTGATGAGACTTAGTAGTTGATGTTTAGTCTGTAGCAAATGTTAAGGATTGCTGTGGTATAGTTTGGGGCTGGGCCATAATTCTTAAACATCACACTTAGGAACTGTGTTACATGCCCTGTGTATAGGCTAGTGACTCATTTTCACATACAAGGATCCCTTTTATTCACTCAGTAATGGAGAATATCATGGAGCAATGAATTTTACATTACAACAGATTTTTGTTGTTTATTGCCCATTTCAGTTATTGTAGTAGCAGCTAGAGTTCACTGATTGCTTACTGTGTTCAGCAGAATAGAGCCAGAATTTGAATTCATGCAGTCTTGATTACCAAGTTTCTTCCATTAAAAACTGTATTAGGTTAAAGGTTATATTTAGGGACTTAAGTAACAAGTTTATTTCTTCAAGTAACAGTGTGTTTGGTCTAGAGTAGTGTGCACACTACCCTAGACCGTTAGGGTAATCCCCTAGACATCTCTAGGGCAGTGATTCTCAAAATTAAGTGTGCATCAGAATCACCTGGAGGACATTTTAAAAAACTCTCCCTGTTATGCCAAAGGTCACTGTCATCGATTGAATTATTTCCCCAAGAAATATGTGGCAACTTGGCTAGGCCATGACTCCCAGTATTGTGTGGTGGTTCTTCATTTCATGAGCTGATGTAATTTTCCTATGAATCGTAATCTCTGCCTGTGATTAATGAGGCAAGATTAGGTTATGTTCAAGAAGATTGGGGTGGGATACAACACCCTTACTCAGGCCACAGCTCTGATCCTATGTAAGGGGAGTTTCCCTGGGGTGTGGCATGCATCACCTTTTATCTTATGAGAGATAAAAGGAGAGAGAAGCAAGTGGAGAGATAAGGACCTCATTACCACCAACAAGAATAGCCAGGAGGGGAGCTTGTCCTTTGGACTCAGGGTCCCTGTGCTGAGAAGCTCCTAGACCAGGGAAGATGGATGACAAGGACCTTTCCCCAAAGCCAGCAAAGAGAAAGCCTTCCCCTGGCACCCTGAATTCGGGCTTCTAACCTAAACTGTGAGAGAATAAACTCCTGTTTGATAAGTCCATTCATTTGTGGTGTTTCTGTTACAGTAGCATTAGTAACTAAGATAGTCACTAACCATCTTAAATGCGATAACTAATAGCTTTCCTCAATCCATAAAAACATGTTTGCTACTCTTGGTGGGTTCCTCTATTTCAGTGGTTTCTCAAAGAATCATTTGGAGGATTGTTAAAACCACAGATTGGTAGGTCCCTTTTGCAGAAGCTGGGTCTGAGAACTTACATTTGTAATAAGTTTCCAGGTGATATTGATGCTGCTGGATCACACGTTGAGAACCAATGCCCTAGGGCATTATCCTTGTCTGCACACTTAAGAGGTGGGTTGTCCCCATGATCACATTTTATCTTGGAGGAAGTTGAAAGAGCAGTTTTTAAAACTAGTGGTGTAGAAGTTCCACTTGCCTCCTTTGCTCATATTGAGTTGATGAGAATTTAATCACATGACCACAACTAGCTACATAGTTAGAATACCTAGTTTTCAGTTAAATAGCCATGTGCCCAGGAGGAAGGGAAGAACCGTTGAGCTTTGATTTCCCCTGTAAGAGACCAATACAGTATACAGTAAAATAGAAATTAAATTGAAATAAGGAGGAAATCTTAGTCACAGAAAATACAAGAACAGAATGTAGAATGTCAGTACTACGGTTGGAAAATGTGGAGAAAAAGTCTAATGTGAAGGCCATACGAGTCTACGTAGTTTATAACTAAACCTAAAATACAACTTTAAATCAGGTTGGTTTATGTCTCATGGTTTTTGATTATTATTAATATAATTAGTATTAGCATGTTTTGTGGATAATCCTTCAGATATTCAGCTCAGTGATTTTTTTTTGTCCTAGTACATTTAGAATTTCATTACAATAAAGATTGAGATTTACAATTAAAAATCAGGATTCAAATTTGGAATAACAGGTCATGAATGGAAAGAACTTTCTCACTAATAATTATGATCTCTGTATTTTATTGAGTACTCATTTGTCAGCCAAATAATAAATACTTGTCATATCTCTGACAAGATAAACTATGATTTTTTTTTAAAAAAAAACTCTTAAAACTAGGATTTGAATTCATGTCTAGACTGGAAAGGAATGGTCAGAGGCCTTTAAAGAACCAGGGGAAAGTGTAGTGTCTCAGAAGCCAAGATGGAGTTTTAAGTAGAGCAGGGCTTTTCCAAGTATGGTCCCTGGATATGCAGCGTTAGTATTACCTGGGAGTTATTAAAAATGCAAATTCTCAAACCCTGCCCCAGACCTGTTGAATGAAATTTTGGGGGTAGGACCCAACAATCTGATTTTTTTTTTCCTTTTTAAACAATCCTTTAAGTGATTCTTTGAGAAACCACTGAGATAAGAGGAACCCAACAAGAGTAGCAAATGTTAAGAATATTTATGGAACAAGGACTGAAAGAATACTGTTAGCTAGTTGCATCAAGTCATGTCTGAGTCATGACCCCATGTGTGTCAGAGTAGAATGTTTTATAGAGTTTTCAGTGACTAATTTTTCAGAAGTTGATCACCAGGCCCTTCTTCCAACGTGCCTCTGGTTGCAGCGTGCCTTTGGTTAGCAGCTGAATGCATTAATTAACCACCCAGGGACTCTCGAAAAGTTGAAGGGTTGCCAAATAGTTGAAGGGTAATTAGAGGCAAAATTAGACCTTTCACATATTTTGAAGATAAGGGAAAGTTTGAGTAAGCTCAGGGTTAAAAGAAAGTCTTTTCTTAGGTAAGAGAAAACTAGTCAAGAAGGGGGACAATGAAGACGGAATTGAAAGATGGGGGTTTCTCTCATTAAACAAAATCTTTGAAAGTTTGGAATTCAAGTAAACATATGAATAGTTATGAACAGTATATAAGGAGACAGAAGGAGATGGGGGAAAGGAAATACTGAGTTGGATCTAAGTCTGGAGACTTTTTTAATGTTTGGCTGTTGGTACCATTGTAACCATTTTTAAGTGTACAATTCAGTGACATTACTTATATTCTCCATGTTGTGCTATCATCACCACTGTCCATTTCTAAGAGTTTTTCATCACTCCAAACAGAAACTCAATATCCCTTCCCCATTTCCTCCTCCCCTCAGCTCCTGGTAACCATAGTAACCTTTTTCTCTATGCATGTAAGTGGGATCATGTAGTATTTGTCCTTTTGTGTCTGGCCTACTTCACTTAGCATAATGTTTTCAAGGTTTATCTGTGTTGTAGCATTATCATAATTTCATTTCTCTTTATGGCTGAATATGTCATTGTATGTATATATACTACATTTTGTTTCTCCATTTTTCTGTTGATGGACACTTGGGTTGTTTCCACCTTTTGGTTATTTTGAATAATGCTGCAGTGAACATTGGTGTACATGTATCTGTTTGAGTCCTTGCTTTCAGGTCACTTGGGTATATACCTAGGAGTAGAATTTCTGGATCATATGATAATTATATGTTTAATTTTTTGTAAAACTGTCAAACTTTTTTCATAGTGAGTGCACCATTTTATAATCCCACCAGCAGTGCCACAAGTGTTCCAGTTTCTCCACATCCTTGCCAGCACTTACTGTTTTCCGTTTTTCTGATCAAAGCCTTCCTAGTGGGGATGAAGTGGTATCTCATTGTGGTTTTGATTTGTATTTCCTTAATGACTAACAATTTCTGAGTTGTAAGACTTCTATGAATGTGTTCTGATTTGAAGAACAGTAGAGACATAGGTGCCTGAAGTTATTCCTGGACAGCACTAGCACTGTCCAGTAAAAATACACATGCCATATATGCATTTTACAATTTTCTAGTGTCCATATTTAAAAAGTAAAAAAAAAGAAAAAAGGTGTTGCTAATTTTAATAATCTATTTAATCCAGTGTATCCACATGTTATCAATATTTTTTTAATTGAGATTTCATATTTTTTTAATACTAAGTCTTCAAAATGTGTTGTTTTATACTTTTAGCACATCTCAATTCGGACTAGCCACATTTCAAGTACTCAGAGTTACATGCAGCTAGTGGCTACCATATTGAACAGTACAGGTCTAGGGATTGTAGGAATAGAATTTGGGGTCATAGTTGCACTAGGGGCATTTGCTTATAGGTTTAACTCTTAAGGACTTGGGAGAGTGGGAGATGTGGAAATAGCTAGGTACAAAGGTCCCAAAATGTTGCCCTGAAAGTCAGCAAAAATAGGAAAAAGGTTAAAGAAGGGAAATTGAAATAAGCGAGTAAAAGTCCCGTGTTTGTTATGAAAATTAAGTGAAATATTTAGAAGATAGTAGACACTCTGTTTAAGAAGTATATTTTATAGGAAACATGCACAAATATCCTGTAGCGTCATCATTTGAGATAGGTAATATCCAGTATTTCCAGTATTCTAAGTTAACATTTATGTTTTTTAACTGGAAATGTTGTTCCGTCTTAAGGGGTAGGAAACTGGTGCCTAGAAAGATAATGCAGCTTTCGATAGGTCCTTTCCTCTGAAGTCCAAAATATATTTTTTCTTAAAACCAGATTTTACTTTAACAAAATCTTCAAGTATTCTCTGCATCTAAACATGTTTGAAACAATATTGATAGAAGAGTTTTAAATATTGCTAAATTTTTAACCTGTGTTTTTGTTACATTAATATTTCTAATGTACTTAAAGATGACTTTTCAAATATAATGGCTTTTTCAGATATTTTTAGATGAATTGCATGAACATGGACAACTGCATTCTATGTCTTCTTGGATGGAATTGTATCCAACGATTAGTTCTGACATTAGATTCACTAATATGCTTGGTCAGCCTGGTGAGATTCTTTTTCCTAATTTATACTTAGGACAGTAGTTGGAATGGAACAAAGGGAGGTAGTTGTGTTGCGGGGAGAAGGGGTGATTTTTTATGTTTTATAAACAAAAAAGTAATTGCAGCTCTTTGGTTAGAGCTAGCTTTTGACTTCTTTAGTTTTTTCATTAGGATCAACTGCACTTGATCTTTTCAAGTTTTATGTTGAGGATCTTAAAGCACGTTATCATGATGAGAAGAAGATAATAAAAGACATTCTAAAGGTAAATAAATAATTTATTAATACCTGTTCCCTTTTGGTGTATTTTAAAGATTGGTACTGTGTTTATTTGATAGATGTATTATACTAACAAAATTTCTATTTTTTTAGGATAAAGGATTTGTAGTTGAAGTGAATACTACCTTTGAAGATTTCGTGGCAGTAATCAGTTCAACTAAAAGGTCAACCACATTAGATGCTGGAAATATTAAACTTGCTTTCAATAGTGTAAGTTATCCTCTTCACTCTTATAAACAACTAGTTTTAATAGTACCAAACCAAAAAAAACCAAACCCATTGCCACCGAATCAATTCCAACTCTTAGTGACCCTATAGGACAGAGTAGAACTGCCCCATATGGTTTCCCAGGAGCACCTGATAGATTTGAACTGCTGACCTTTTGTTTAGCAGCCATAGCTCTTAACCACTGTGCCACCAGGGTTTCCTTTAATAGTACAGTTTCTAATATATTCAGTCAAAAGTATTTTAAGTTGTAGGTTATTAGAATGAGGGAATATGAATAGGATTTTACAGAGTAGTAGGCAGTTTTTCAAAGTAAGCTAAAAGAACAATAGGTGATAGATTGGATGTTAAGCTTCCTTTGCTCACATTAACTGGTGTTATGGATAAATTGGCCCTTAACTTATAAATGGTGTAACAATACTTTTAAATTAGGAATAATAATTTCAACAGGAATTATAATTGTACAATTGCAGTTGATTAAATATGGTTTTTCTACAAGTTACTAGAAAAAGCAGAAGCCCGTGAACGTGAAAGAGAAAAAGAGGAGGCTCGGAAGATGAAACGAAAAGAATCTGCCTTTAAGAGTATGTTGAAACAAGCTGCTCCTCCGATAGAATTGGATGCTGTCTGGGAAGATGTATGTATACTTAAAAATTTTTCCTAATGAACTGTTTACAATTGATAATATATTTACCATTTCATAGCAAAGAAATAAGCTGAACTATTTGTTGCTTAGAATATATTTAAAGTATATTCTTTTAAGAAGGATTCTCCCTTTAGAAATGTTTGTTAAAAATGGTTTGGGCTTTGAAGAAAGGAAATAATAGACCTTGAGGGGACTGTCGTTCACTTGCTTCTGTGATTCCTTTTAGGCATATTTGTATACCTTTTTTTGGTACTTGTATATTGATTACATATCTGAATTTTTCAGATCCGGGAGAGATTTGTAAAAGAGCCAGCATTTGAGGACATAACTCTGGAGTCTGAAAGAAAACGAATATTTAAAGATTTCATGCATGTGCTTGAGGTAATTTTAATATTGTCATAAATGATTCTGAAGTACTACAAAATATATAAAAATATAAAATTTGAATTTAGATTGATCAAGGTGTATTTCTTAACATCTGTTACTTTTATACAAATGTAGTTACGTGGATGGTTTTTTCTGTAAAAACTACTTTTAAGTGAAACTATAAGCTTTTGTTGGAATATAAAGATTTATTTGTGGAGACTGCTCATGTCTGTTTCATATTTTTAAAAAGTTCTAGAAATTTAGCAACTTCGCAACCATACAGTTGTAGTCTTAATATTGATTGGTAAACCCAAAGAAAACCTTAAAATCTTCTTGTATATCAGTTGTTTCAGATATTACAAATTACATCTGTAGAAAGCCTAGAAGAGTTTCTGAAATATAATGGAATAAGATGAGTAATGATAACACCTCAAGTTATTCCATTAGCTGTGTGAGGGTATTTTTATGAATGTTTCAGATAGATACTTGTATATAGTAAATACATTGATGATTAATTATTAATAATATTAATATTAATGGTGCCTGTGTGGGACAGGTGCTGTTCTAATTGTTGTACATACATGAACTTAATTCTCACAGCAATCCTGTGAAGTTATGGATGAGGAAACGGAGGAATATAGTAACTTAAACAGGGAAGGGATTCCAACGCAGGCTATTTGTTTGACTCCAGGATCAATGTTTCTAACAAGTATGCTGTGCTGCCAGTGCTAGACAAACTAGTACTTTACAACAAGCTGAAAGCTGGCACATATTTAATATTACAGTGTTGCATGGTAGTTGGGCATAATGGGTCACTTAATTGACTAGTCATGATTTCTTTTGATTTATTGTTCCTGATTAATATCAACGTTGACCCAAAAACCTGTTGGCCTTCGACTCGATTCCAACTCATAGCAACCCTATAGGACAGGGTGGAACTGCCCCATAGGATTTCCAAGGAGTGCCTGGTGTATTCAAACTGCTGACCTTTTGGGTAGCAGCTGTAGCTGTTAACCACTATGCCACCAGAGTTTTATCCAACATAGGACTCATTCAGGAGTTGTGCTAATGGGGCCAGAGGTTCTGTAATTTGTAGCAAGCTCCCAGGTGATGCATATGTCGCTGGTCTGAACCATTTGAGTAGAAAGGACCAGATCTAGAGGAAGCCGGCAAATAATATAAGTACCCAACATAGGACCTGTATTATTTCCTGGCTTTTCGTGGTCCTTTCTACTCAGTGTGGTTCAGACCAGTGACATCTGCATACCTGGGACCTTGTTACAAAGTACAGATATTGGCACAACTGCTGAATGAGAATCTACCTTTTAACAAGATTTCAAAGTGGTAAAATGCACATTTAATTTTGAGAAGCTTTGCTCTAGGTATACCCATTTTCCCCTACTTGAAGGATCTTCAGCCAGATTCTCTCATGATTGGTGCTAGAGGTAAAATAGTGAGGCAATAAATGTAGCTAAAAATAGTGGCACAGGGAAGGGGTACTGAACACATAATCTGAGCCTTGCAGTAGAAAAATTTAGTGTTCAATGACATAAAAAGAAAGGATGAGAGGCCAGTCCGCTGTCCCTTCTGAGCCAGATTTTTTCATTGCCGCTTATTTGTAACTAAAACAGTTTATTTTCAAAGCCGTAGGATATGTTTGGGGGCAAGCGGCTTTTATTAAAGCAGCAGGTTCCCTTTCCCACCAACTTAATAATTGCTTTAATAAAAGTTAGAATTGAAATCCACAGAGACAACATTCATTTTCTGATTTCATGTGGAATTTGAGTTAGATTGTCTTAGGATATCTGAGTTTGAGTAAGATGGGAATACTTCTTGGGGAAAAGAAATAGATTTTGCATTTAGTCTGAGACCAAGCTTGTGTATCTTAGTTCAGGGATACCTTCAAGCTAGTTATTTATATCCATGCCTGGCTAGCTAGTTGACCAAAGCCAGATTCATCAGAAAAACCATGCTTGAATGACACTAGTTTTCAGTGTTTTTGAAAGCAGTTGTTACTGCATTCTGCAGATTACACTTTTTTTTACAGGGTATCAATTGTCCTACTGACTCACATCATTCTCATTGCTGTAAATACTACTTTACTACTACTTTTTAACATTGTGTGTTTACACATCTAAATGAGGGGTATAGGATGGTAGGAAGGAGAAAAAATGTTAAGTGATAATCCTTTATAGATAATAGTTCTACACATTCTCAACTGGATATATCCTAAATATGCAAGATGAATAGAATTTTACTCTAAGAACTTGTTTGTATAGCTTTTAAAATATTCTTTATGATCTGCTGTCCAAATTTACATAAATATAAACAAAGTTCTGTTTTCTTGACCCTGTAGCATGAATGTCAGCATCATCATTCAAAGAACAAGAAACATTCTAAGAAATCTAAAAAACATCATAGGAAACGCTCTCGCTCTCGATCGGTAAGGAAGTTTATTACATGGCACCACGAGTATATTGAAATATTGCCAGCATCATTATGAATGAAATTATTTGTGTTCTTTAGGGGTCAGATTCAGATGATGACGATAGCCATTCAAAGAAAAAAAGACAGCGATCCGAATCTCGTTCTGCTTCAGAGCATTCTTCTAGTGCCGAGTCTGGTGAGCATTTCTATTTAATTGATTAAAATCACTGACACTTTGATGTCCTCAAATTCTTACTTTTTTTCCTTTCGTTTTGCCTAGAGAGAAGTTACAAGAAGTCAAAAAAGCATAAGAAGAAAAGCAAGAAGAGGAGACATAAATCTGTAAGTGAGCTTCTAGTTTTTAAAGTGGACCTAGCCATTTGCCCTTAACTCTGTCAGTTGCAGTTGAACCTTTTTGTTTATAGTCTTTGTAGTCCAACACAGTTCAGGTGGTCACCTAGGCTTGATTGATAGAGTCTTTTTCTGAGCCTGTATATGTTTAAGCTAGTTGTTCTTCACTTAGATCTCCCGCTAAAATCACTTGGCGAGCTTTAAAAAAAAGTACACACACACACCAGCGTTGAGATTCCCACCCTGTTTAAAAGAGATCCAAGTGTGTTGCAGTTGTTGAGACCATAGGTTTAAATATTTAAACAACCACTTCCTCTGCTATTGCAGTTCTTGTAGTCCTAGGATCACCTAGGAAGCTTCTCCAAAATGTAAAGGCCTGAGTGCCAGCACAGGACTATTGAATCAGAATTTCTCTTCATGCTGCTCACTTGAATTTGTACATATCTAAGTAAGAACCACTAATGTAGGTACTAACATTACATTTTTAACAACTCCTCAGTAGCAGTTTTGAGGAAACAATTTTCATTGTACAGTTGTCAGCGTAAGATGTGATTAGGCTTATAGCATCTTATATAAATACTTAAATAAAATAAACCAGTATTTTATTGGTTGGTGAAAAATGTAATATCTGTCTACATTTATACACAATAGATAGAATTCGATCTGAAGTGTATCTTCATCCCATATTTATTGAGGCTCTTTTTTAGTTATTTATTACCCTGTCCGAATGTCATCCTTCCTATGGGAAAAACCAGGTCTCTCCTATGAATCTTGGAAATCTTGTAGAATGAGGTTAAAAATTCAAATTAGGTTACACCACACTAGGTCCTGTGGGAACACATACCCTACTATGTTTTTAATCAAAATGATGACTTTTTTTTTTTTTTTTAATTTTCATAGGACTCTCCAGAGTCAGATGCTGAGCGAGAGAAGGACAAAAAAGAAAAGGATCGAGAAAGTGAAAAGGACAGAACCAGGCAAAGATCAGAATCAAAACATAAATCACCTAAGAAAAAGACTGGAAAGGATTCTGTAAGTTTTTAGAATCCTTTTGTTTAAAGAATACAATATGTGTTTTTACGCAGATAATGCACGCCTTCTACTTTTGTTTGCCAACCTTGCCCTCCTCCCCGCCCCTGGTATTTTTGTAAGTGTGCTGTGCTAATTTTTTTTTTTCTTCACAGCAGCATGTAAAAGAAATTGGCATAGTGGCAATTTCAAAAATACAAAGGTGTATACTCTGATTAAAACCATAATAGTGTTTAAACAATAGACATTTTTCAGATCTACCATGTGTGATCATATTAGAAAGTAGCACATTTTAGAGTGTACAGAGTAAAGACCATAGTCTGAGTAGGTTAAAATTACAGTTATGGAATACTACATACTACTTTAAGGAATATAAAATTTTCATGACTCGAATCGGGTTCTGTCTCCAGATGTTCACAGTCATTATTAAGTACAGTTTTAAAAGGTAGCAGGTCAGTAACTTGTTAGAAATACTGACGTGGGGTGGTGGGAGCAAATGGGTAGGGGAATAAGCCAAAGTTATGTTCATATCAAGTTACATAATTAGTCCTTAGTTTTCCCTATATAGAGAGAGATACGTAATGACAGTGCAGTAATACAGACCTTACGCTTGTGCATTCCTTCTATAAATTAGCAGTGGGGCTTTCTAAGTATGTAGATAAGCCCGTCCTACCTCTGGATTCAGTAGAGATACAGGGTGAAGTGTTTTTTTAAGCTGCACAAGTGAGTCTGATGAACATCCTTGGTGAATTAAGTGTACTAAAAGCATAATACTTCTGTTAGTGTCATATAAAACACTTAATAGACAACCTAGAATCTGCAGAATTAGCATGGAATAGAGTACCTGGGAACACCTGGCTTCCATTAAATGGAAACAAGGTGCTCTGCATTCAGTTGTATAACAGGAAAGAAACAAAACCGGTGTGTGCCACCTTGTGGACTGAAAGTAGCATTATGTAAAAGTCTCATTCTAAGTATTTTCTGTAACAGAATAACCAAGGAGTGCTTAATCAGTAAGCCACTGATGGGCTTTTGGGGAAAATGGGCAGTCTTTAAACCCTGTGAAATTTCTGTGTGTGTTTCTGTGGCAAAGAATCTATATAGATTTTGGATTCCTTGTTTAAAGGTTCATTACTGACGTCACCTGTAATTGTATTCATTCTTTTTCAGGGTAATTGGGATACTTCTGGCAGTGAACTGAGCGAAGGAGAATTAGAAAAGCGCAGAAGGACCCTTTTGGAGCAACTGGATGATGATCAATAAATTATACCAAATATATGTTTACAGTATGATTTAAATCTAATTCAGACCAGGGACTCTGTTTTAAGTTCAATTGAAATAACACTGGGTTTTAATTATATCACAGAACAAAAAGTGCATTTAAGTATTGTTATTGTGGACTTGACTTTATAAAGACAAAGGAAATTGAAAATAACTTTTGATTCTATAATAATCATATTTTCATATGGTCATAACTGTCTTTCTGTGACCCTTTCAGAGGGCACTGCAGGATGGATTAAAGGTGGCAATTTACTGATAACTGCAGATGTCTCTACTTTGTTCTAAAGTCTAAGTCATGAGGTGGTTTGATTTACTTTATAGAAGTTGGATTTTGATGATAAACTGAAAATTTTTTTGATACATAGTAGTACAAAAAAAGCACCAGCAACTGATAAAACTGCTTTTTTGTGCACTACCCAACTGGTTAAAGCTGATGTGATCTTTTATGGTGAGCTCCTAAGAAATAGGTGATTTTGATGGAAATCTGGCAGACCCTGAACTACAGTGGTGCCAATGACTACTACTGTAGTAAAGCCACCTTTGTCATTTTTTTACTAAACATCTGATACATTTTAAGAAGGCTATTATGAGGGCATTATTTTGAATATCTATTTTGAGGTGATGTTTAAGAAAATTAACATCAAATCAAATTGTAAATTAGTTTAAATATTTGCCTTAAGGACCTACTAAAGAATGTGCCACCAAATTTTAAATGATAGTTGCAGTATCCTTGTCTAAAACACAAATGAATGTTGACTTAAACATTTTCTTTAACAGAGTTGTCTTTTTTTTTTTAAATCCAATCTTTTTTTTTTTTTCATTGAGGAAGTCTTTTACCTTCCCTACACACTGAGAAGTATTGACTTCGTGGTACACATTCTAAAGCATTTCTGATTTGAATATTTTTGTACATTTTTATCAATTATTAAACCTTCTCTTCTAGCGTGTGCTAGTATTTATTTCTACCTAAACTGCTCAGCTCTAAAGAAATTGTATGACCATTTAAAGATATTAAATCCTTGAGATTTTGCTTTTTATCCAACCCATATAGCTAGTTTAATTTCCTTTTTTTAATATTTCAGAATATTATAAATCAGTGCATTTAAGGCCCCTTTGTGTTTGATTTGGAAGAGCCCTGGTGGTGCAATGGTTAAGCACTCAGCTGCTAACTGAAAGGTCAGCAGTTCGAACCCACCAGCTGCTCTAAAGAAGAAAGTTGTGGCAGTCTGCTTCTGTAAAGATTACAGCCTTGGAAACCCTATGGGGCAGTTCTGTTCGGTCCTGTAGAGTTGCTATGAGTCGAAATCGACTTGACAGGAGTGGGTTTTGGTTTTTTTCGTGTTTAATCTGTGAATTTCCTACAGGATATTTTAGGGAGGCCAGTGGTTTGAACGAAGCTAGAGTACTCTTTACATGCTAACTTTCAAAGGTTGGTAATGTAATCTATACTATTTTCCTTCAGTGCAGGAGATTTTTTTAAGTAGACAAGTAAATTTTAGCACCTAGTCTTTAGGCATTACCTTAGATATTGTCTTTATTCTTTTAATTTGGTTACTTTCAAGTTGGGGCTTAGCAAAAAGTTCAGTACTTTGCCTTGAACATCCTAACAAAGCTGAAAGTGGGACTGACCAGGATGACTCTTTTTCTTTTCTTCCCCGTTTTTGAACTGAATCTGAAGTGTTCACTGTAGTAAAGTCAACAAAAGGGAAAAAATTATGTTTCTAAATTTCTCTACCAAGTCATGTTTCTGCTATGAAATATTACATGACTTTGTAGAAAGTGAGAATCACTATCTTATAAGAAAATATGAAGTAATCAAATTGCTTGAGATTAGTCTCCAATTATATATTGGAACCAAAACATAAACAACTTTGGCAACAAGGGAGTTGCCTAGATTTAATTTTCAGAAGTCCCATTGTAATGACAGTTAATATTACTAATCATGTCAAACATTTGACGTGAAAGTCTGGTAAAGTCTTACGCATATGATACTGGCAGAAATGCTAATGATAAGAGAATTTAGAATCTGTGAAACATTGTTTTAATCACTTCCATGAATGACAACTTTTTAAAAGTACGTTTAACTTCTGATTTTTTTGAATTTGAATAAAAGGCTATTGATGTGTTTTAGTATGTCCTCAAAATAGATTTCTGTATTTCTTATAGAGATACCATCTTATCACAACCTCAGATCCCTACAAGGCAATCTAAATTCAAGTTTCCCTTTAGTGTTCACTCATAAAAATTAGAACTAAAAACAAAAGTGGTGAACAAATTACAACTGAAAATACAACATCTTAGGTTATAGACCTTCCTATAAAAGATGTAATTGAAGTCAATTCTAGTCTGCCTTTGATGATCCCATCAAATGGGTTTTAGTTGACAGTTCAGAACAGTCTGAAGGCACAGGTGATGGGAAGTTTTGTTTTAGAGCAAGAGTTGTGAGTGAATACTTTTAACCAGATTAAGTTTCTAAATCTTCAGTTTGGCAAGGGATTGAAATGTCTTTGAATATCGGTCCTACTAGAGCTTAATGGATGTGTTCAAACAGGAAAACGTGTTTACCTTCAGATAAGGGGCATTTTATACTTTTCAATTTAAGCCTCAGACTCTTAGGAAAACATTGAGGATTTATCCTCAGTATCATTAGTATTAATGAATTATTGGATTAAATTCACAGATACACTATTATACTTTAAATAGTCAAAATCAGGACCTCATATATTTGATTTTCTCATTTTCTCCCAGTCATAATTGCTATGTGGGAAAATTGAGTTTGTATGAAAAGTGAATTTAGTCAATCAGGTATGAAGAATTGTTTGTACTTTTCCTAAGTGTATTTAAATAATAACACTTTTAAATAAAGTCAGTGGTCCCACCATATTTTTTAAACACAGTGACCATTTCATTATCCTTATCCAAAGTAGATTTAGCATATTCAGACTGTATGTTTTCAGCATTAAAAAATGCTTTATATTTGACCATAAATTTGATAATAGTCAAAGTATCATAGCTATTTCATCCTTTGACTTGACAATCGGGTGTCACTCTATTCAACTATAAAATGAAAAGGATTGGCCTAGAATAGACAATTTTAATTCACAGTGGTAGGTTGAAGAATGTGTGAAAACTCTTCGAATATTTTTTGTACATTTTTCTGGAAGGGGGGGTGGTCCATAGTTTTCATTTGATTACCAAAGGGCCTGTGTCCTGTGTTAACAGAGCATTTGCTTAGACGCTCCTGGATTTTCTCCCAGTGCTAATAGTCAACTGCTGACTAGGCAGCCACTTTTATTTTTACTCTCCAGAAAGAAATAACCCCTTTATATGAATTTTTTCTTTTAACTCACTTCCTATTTAAGAGAGAGAACTGTTCTAATCAAATAGTACCAAGGGAAGAGAGATGAATGCTTTTTTTTATTTTTTAAAGTTTATAGGATATTTTAAGTATGTTATGTAAATTAAATGTAAGCTATAAAACTAAAGAACTTCAGCTTTTAAAACTAAATAAACATTTCTAAAAGCAAATCGTGACAAAGCACATTAATTCCTTGTATCTGAAATCTAGATTTCCTTTTCCCTTGGGGATGTCTCTCTCTAAGTACTAGGTAAAATCTAGTTCATCCACCCTACCTTCTGTATAGGTAAAATTGCACCTGTTTTACATAAAGGAAAAGCAAAATAGCATCATGAGTTATTTTCATGGAATTGTGTTCTAATAGGCTTATAATCCCATGCTTTGGTTCAGGTAATGACATACACAGATCTAATAATTCTTACCTTATTCTTACCTTGCTTTTGATTTTGTTTTCCGATTATTTTGACTTAAATGGTGGTCATATAAGTTTCTCAGGGGCTGGGATCTGTTTCATTCATTGCTATATCCCTGGGAAATAGAACACTGCGTGGCACGTATTAGGCATTTATTGAATGAGTATAAAATATTGATATATGTGCTCACTCAGCATCCATAGTACCCATTGTCTATATTAAAGGGCTTGGAAAAGCATCTTTGCAATAAACCATACTAACAACTAAAGCCACATACATAAGGTTTAGTACCCATACCTTCTCCTTTACTGCTGCTTCAGAAATGCCCAAAAGCTTGCTAGTGAGAACATACTATTATGTGCGTGGTTTTTGAGTAGGAAAGGAAATCGCTTGTGATTTGAAACATTCCTTTTGTGTATTGATTAATTGGTATACCATACTAGTTAACTTTTACTTGAGGAGGTAACATTCAGCTAGATAGAATTGGTCTTTTAAAAGCCCTAATGGCGTTAATAGCAAAACTAAGCCAAGAACTAACCATCTCAGGTTATCTGTGACCTGGCAGGCACTCAAATGTTCATTGGAACTGACTTCAAGGTAGGGTAGAAAGGGAAGAGGTTTTGCTCATCCACATACTCCCATTGTTTATCTCCGTTTTATTTAGCTTGTCTGCCTAGCCTAAGTTCCTACTTGAACTTGCTATATGAAGACTGTCAAAATGCTTCTGTAATTCTCAGTAGGATCTAGTTCAAGATCATCTCATTATTGCTACTGACTGGTAATTGTGACAATTTGATGGTATTGCCCTAGGTGTAAATAAGTTGATGTTTGCATATGAGGGACCTGGATAAACCCCCTAATTTTCAGTTATAGGTTATAAAACAATGAGTGGCTGCCTAATTCCTTCAGATTCAAGCTAAGCCATTTCTTGATGCTTTTCTTCTATGCTGTTCCTTGGGTATCTAAATATGCTATTTATAAACATTTTTTTGGTCTTACCTGCAAACATTTTTGGTAGGTGTTAGTCTTCTTGCCTACCTCTACAAGTAAACTGAGGAATTGTTCTGAAAGGTGAGTAATGGGGGAAACAAGGTTTCTATTTTCTGTGTTTGTAATTGCCAGATTTTCTCTTCTGTTTATATATTGTTCTGATGTAAATAAAGAACCTCATATAAAATTAGACCTTTTGTAAATAAATATAATTTATTAGAAAAAACAGCATCTTATTTACTAAATAATTTGGATGTGTCAACTTTTTACTTGAAGCACCTCTCACAAGGAGTTCTGTGCTATGAGTTGCTAGATGCCCACATTGTTTTCTCAGTGTAATAATACCTGCTTTCTAAAAAGACCAAAAACAGAAAAAAGTACATCAACACTTTCTTCATGCATTTGTTTCTTCAGATCTTTTCTAAATAGTTTTAAAATGGGAAAGATTAATCCTTTTGTATGAACTGTGCTAATATATTCATCTTTGCAGACATTTAAGCAATAAAAATTAGAAAAATGAATATATTAGAGCTAAGCGAGTTTTGTTTTACTAAATAAAGTTAATATGTATGTGAATTGTAAAACTAGTATTAAAAAGTATATCATCCAGTGTAAAATTAGATAGTTCTTCAGAGAAAAATCTAGTATGTTGAACCAAAGCAGAGACTGTGATGAGTATCAAGTCCTGTTCTGTGCTGAGTGTAGAGCCAGGCAGGTTGCTGAGCATTGCAGTCAATTTTAGTGTTAGGGGTTTGGGAGTGGAGAACAGGGTGCTTAATTCTGAGTCAGTGATAAATGTGTCTGAAATGGAGCTACTGGTATATAATACCCTAAACCTAACCATATCTGCCTCATTTGAACCTACTGCTACAGTTTGGGTTTGAAAACATTCTGAATTTGTGGACTATTTGAGACTTTAAAAATTTCTCTATTAGGCACTTGTATAAAAGCGAACTAGAGATTCTTACCAACTCCAGAATTTAACTTTTTCACCCTTAAAATAGAGCTTCAATGACATTGTATCGTAGTGGGAAAAGCACTGAATTGGGATCAAAGACCAAGGCACGTACAGGCTCTTTCCTCTACTAGATTTGTGACTGAGCAAGGCAGTTAATTCTTCAATAAGTCAGTTTTCTCATGTAACAGCAAAGCATGACAAATATAAAGCATGGCTATGATAA